TCTTCCTTCTTCCTTCTTCCTTCTTCCTTCTTCCTTCTTCCTTCTTCTTCTTCTTTCTTTCACCGAATAATATGTTTGGAGATCTTTTTAAAAAATTTAATTCTTTATTTTGAACCTCTGCAATGAATTCCACATTTTGCTGGGTCAGTGTTTAGCCTTTTCTTTACTAATGGACATCTGTGCTTTCAGTTTTCCATTCTCACCAGACTTGTGGTGGTGAATATTCTTGAGCAGACTTCCTTGTATTTCTCTATGTTAGCTATCAAAGGGTTTTTCTAATTCTGCTTCTAACTAAGGACTGGAAAAGTTATCGGTTTCGGTTCCCCTCCCAAAGGCAGAAAAGTCATTGTGGATATTGAAGAGATGAATCCAGACATTCTGGGTGGCATTATTAAAAACAAAATAGGGATGATTGTTATATTCTTTTATAAAACCATAGTAATTTGTGTTATTGGTGGTTTCAGGCATATAAATCTGTTCTACTGTCTCATAAAGTAATTAGCTTGAATTGATCTTTTTGGCTCCTTTCTTTATATCTGGAGAATCTGACACAGTGGTGAGCATATACTGGGCCCTTTGGTAGTAACTCTTTGCCGTTCCTTTTGTGCCATTTTAAGGGAGGCATGGCAGAAGCTTTTCTAAACAGGGTTTCTTAGAGTATGCCAGGAGGACCACCTGCATCCCAGCCTCCCTGGGGCCCTGGTTAATAATGCCAGTTCCCTGGGCAACCCCCAGACCACTGAATCAGAATATCTGGGAACCACAGTCCTATCACCAAGCTTCTCAAGCAATTTGACATATACCTGATTTGAGAATCACTATTTTAAGGCAACCACAATGATTTTAAGGAGCCAGAAGAGAGGAGTTTTTCCGAACTGGCTGACAAACTACAATAGGGGAAAGGTTGTTCAAGGAAGGAAAAAACTATTGTTGATGAGAGTCTAGGAAACTTTCTTTTGCTATTTTCTATTCATAGAAAAAAACTGTTGATGAGAGTCTAAGAAACTTTCTTTTGCTATTTTCTATATAATAGAAAATTACTATTTGCTATTAATACAGTAGTTGAAAATATAGTTTAAAATAGTGTTAGAACCATTGTTTGGATAGGTCTTACACAGTCTCTGGTATTATTTCCCAGTTGATATGCATCATTATTAAGTCAGGCTTTATTAGATGGGTATGATTTTGTCTTCTTTTGAAAGCAAGTAATTACATATAATATTTCTGAAATACATTGTGTATCTGTTTTCTCTTTTCCCAGGCTGCTCTTTATGGATGTGGCTGCTGGGCTGAAAATACTGGAGCTCATAATCCCTACTCCACAGCTGTGAGTACCTCAGGTATTTGCTGCTTTCATGACCATTTTTCATAACTGCAACATTGTAGGGCATTTAATGATTGAAAACAATATTTTTATGTAAACATAAAGCATGTGCTGAGACACTGCATAGACAGGAGCATTTATGCATGAAAGATCTTTGATATGTAGGAGCTTTTAAGGATTGTTTCACAATATCAGTATCCCAGTGTAAATGTTTTGCTAACATTTCATTACAACTCTGGAGTTAACTATAAGTTATATTTTTGATGTTTTTTTTCCTCTAGTGGAAAAAATAATTGTGTGCCACTGACCTATCAGGTGAAGTCCAAACACGAATTAATGTTGAACCTTAACCATACTAATTATAATTGGCAAAAAATTGATTTTCATTTCTTCACTTTTGAAGAGATGAGTATAAAACATGAGTTAATTTTTAAAAAAAGATTTTATTTATTTAATTGAGAGAGAGAGAGAGAGACAGTGTGCGCCAGCAAGTGGGGGGACGAGCAGAGGGAGAGGGATAAGCAGACTCCACACTGAGCATGGAGGCAGACACAGGGCTTGATCACACGACCCTGAGAACACGACCTGATCCAAGACCAAGAGTCAGATGCTTAACCAACTGAGCCACCCAGGTGCCCCAATATGAGTTAATTTTTAATTTAATATTGGTGGCACATGAAAATCTCTATGCATAATATTTAGGAATTAACTTGTGCACAAATTAAGTATGGCCCTATGTCTATAGAAAATTGTGGTATTTGAACAAACAGAAGTCTAAAATAGATAATTCATTGTTTCATTTTTATTTTCCCAAAGTAGTATTAGTATCATATGTTGTTTTGACTTTATTTTTGGTTAATATGTTATTCACTGAGTTGGTTTGTCATTGTTAAGTGTTACTCTCATGTCTAGACGTTTGGGAGACCTGGATTCTACTTTAAGCTGAAATCCTGAAAGCTGCCAGACTGTCGTTTCGGAAAAGAAATTTAATCTCTTTGGGATTGTCCACCTTTCTCCTTTTTTAAATGGAAGTTGGAATAGGATCACCTTTCATTGATTTGGTTGTGTTAAGAATGCATTGGGTGGGTAAAGCTAAAATTGTAAAATTAAGGTCTTTTTCCCTTCCCCTTGCATATTGCCTCCTTTGCACATCTTGCACAACTAAAGATAGTTTCACATGGCTAAAGATAAATTTAGGTTTCTAGTTCATGACATCCAGTGAGTGCAGCTTTTAAATTTGGATGCCCAGTTTGTCATGTTATATCCTTCTGAAGTTTAAGGACTAACTATCATCAGCCCCCATAACCTGAGGATAATAGAGCAAGTCTCTGGTTCCTTCCATCCCTGGGACTTTGTGTGATTGCTTCACCCTTGTTTCTCCTGGGGCTGTTGCTATGAGGTTGACAATGGAAACACAGAGTTGGGTGACCAAGTCGGAAGAAATGTGGTGCACAGAATTTTGCAATTGTTTTCCCAAAATAAAAAAGACTGGTGCGTTAGGCTGTTGCAGAAGATTTAGAGACCTGGCCTACATTTTATGTTTATAGTTCTTGGAAGGTAATAATTGAAAGGCAGAGGGAAGATAATTATGGTCAAGATAGGGCTCTCCCAAGGCCAGACAGGCAATTTGATCATTAGCCTCAGGGATAAACTCCAGCATCTTGTTCTCATCACTGGGTGGGGAGGAATGAGTGGGGAGTGGGGAAGAGAGTAGTGTGGCAGGAGCTGGCTGTGCAAACTCTGACTAATGTTCTGGCATCATGGAAATTTGTCTAGCTTGGAAGGCAGTAGAGTATATACAGGTTCTTGTGCAGACTCTTTCACTCACTGGCTGTGACCTTGGCAAGGGTTATTTGTAAAGCAAGAATATCTACCTTAATATCTGTGAGTACTGAATGAGTTGACATATGGAAGGCATACTTCTTGGCTCAGAGTAGTGGTTCAATACTTAACAGTGTGTCATTGAATCTAAGTCACTATCTTTTATAAAATACACCAGTATTTAAAAAAAAATTGTTGATTCTTATTTTTTTTTGTTGTGGTAAGAACACAAGATGAAATCTATTTTCTTAACAAATCTTTTAATGTATAACGCAGTATTTTTAACTTGAGGTGCAAATTGTACAACGGATCCCTTGAACGTTATTCATCTTTCATTACTGAAACTTTATTATTTATTTATTTTTTTTTTTGAGGAGGGGGTGGGCAAAGGGAGAGAGAGAGTCTCCCAGCGTGGAGCCTGATGTGGGGCTCCATCTCATAACCCTGAGATCATGACTTGAGCCAAATTCAGGAGTTGGATACTTAACTGACTGAGCCACCCAGGTGCCCTAAAACTTCATTAATAACAACTCCCCATTTCTCCCTTCCTCCAGCCCCGGGCAATCACCATTCTACTCTTTGCTTCTGTGAGTTTGAGTATTTTAGGTTCCTCATAGAAGTGGAATCATGCAGTATCTGTCCTTCTGTTACTGGCTTATTTCACTTTGCATAACGTCTTTGAGGATTATCCATGTTGTATATGGAGGGATTTCCTTTTTTAAGGCTGAATAATATTCCATTATACATATATACCACATTTTCTTTATCCATTTATCTGTTGATGGGCATTTAGGTTCTATCTGCATCTCGGCTATTATGAAAAATGATGCAGTGAACATGGAGGCACTGATATCTCTTCAAGATCCTGATTTCAAGTCTTTTGGATAAATACCCAGAAGTGGAGTTGTTGGATCATATAATAGTCCTATTTTTAATTTTTTGAGGAACCTCCATACTGTTGTTGGTAGCAGCTGTACCATTTTACAATCCCATGAACAGTGTACAAGGCTGTGAATATCTTTACATCTTCACCAACCTTTATTATCTCTTGTCCTTTGGATACTAGCCATTCTAACAGGTATGAGATGATGTCTCATTGTGATTTTGATTTGCATTTTCCTGATGATTAGTGAGGTTGAACACCTTTTTATGTACCTTTTGGCCATTTGTATGTCTTTGGAGAAATGTCTATTCAAGTCCTTTGCTCATGTATTAATCTTACTATTTGTTTTTCTGCTGTTGAGTTGTAGGAGTTCATCATGTCTTTTGGATACTAACCCCTTATCAGATATATGGTTTGTAAATATATTCTCCCATTCTGTAGGTTGCTTCTTCATTTTGTTTTTTCTTTTCTTGTGCAGAAACTTTTTAGTTAGATGTAGTCCCACTTACCCGTTTTTGCTTTTGTTGCCTATACGTTTAGTGTCATATCCAGGACTAAAATATACCAATATAAGGTACATATACTAAGGCGGGGGGGAAGACTGCCAGTTATAGAATGACACACTTCTTTCTCATCACTCTTAACACATGGTTGTTGCTTTACAAGAAAATATAGAATTTGGGGGTATTCCTCCAACAAGAAATATTTGCTGCACTGATAACAATGTCATGCTCCATTGCTATTTCCATGCCTTCTTATGCTCATAATTACTTTTTGTTTCAGTTCCTTATCATACTGTTATACTTTTGAACACATGGTAAATGACAGTTATACTCAAAACTTGTAGTTCCAACATGGCACATAAACTCAACTGAAGGGTCAACAACAGGAACAGCTTACCTCCTTCTAGAGGCAGCGGTTGCTATGTCACAGCTGCAGTCTGGAGAGCAGGCACAGGAGGATGCCGTCAATTATAATGTATGGACTGATTTCAGAAAATTTTGAATGTGAAAAAAATATACTCTAGAATTGATAAACTTTAATAAAAGCTTTTCTTATTCTCAGCTTTGTGTGTGTGTGTGAAAATAATAATTTATTTTAGGCTTTCTTAAGCAGTGACTTAAGCTCTTGAGAAAAGGGGATCTGTGGGTATATTTGTGTTTCCTGAGTGCCTAGCACAGGGCCTTGCACTTAGTAAGTGCTTACTAGACAAATTAAAATTAAGACAAATGATTATTATAATCATCAACATTGCCAAGAGACTGGAACTTAATTATTCCAATCACTAAAAAGAAAGGATAATCATGTAATGTGATAGAGGTGCTAATTATTGCTACAGTGGCAATCATATTACAGTATATATATGTATCAAATTAACAAGTTGTACACCTTAAATTTACACAATGTTATATGTCAGATATATTTCATTAAATGAAAGAAATGTGCGTGTGAATCTTCCCTCTTATAGAAGGATAGATGTCATTTCAAAAAGATTATGCACCATGGAATTTCTTTAAATAGTACTTTAAAATTTGATTTAATTTGCTGAAGTCAAAATCACACATAATTTTTCAGTAACACATCAGATGCATAATGTCAGATACATCTGTGGTCTTTTCTGGCTATGGAAAGGAAGAGCAGATTGAGGATTAGAAGATCAGAAGGATGAAAAAAGGAGGAGATTAAGTTTATGCTCTGATTGACCTTAACATTGGTATGCTGTTACTTGTCTGTGCACTATGTTTTTTTCTTTAAGAGAAACAGTGAGTCCAGGGGTTATATGGCAGCTGGCTGGAGTTCAGAAGACACAGGCTTCAATCCTCCTTCCTTAAAGTATTTTGGCAAGAAGAAAGCTCTGCTACTTGGTTTCTGGTATATGGCCCACTGATTTCTGATTTTATAGGTTCTTTGATTTTCCAGGTTTTGGCTCTGGATAGTTCTAGAACCCTGAGGGTGGTGATGATGTGGCTGGCCATGGCTTGCCAGGAGTAGGTTCAAAGGTTGGGGTGATAAAAAATGCAAAAAATGAGACCAGGCTTTTGCCTAAATATTTGTGAGCCAGTGATTCTGAGCCAGCCCTCTTCCTCAACGGCTGAGAATTAATGTTACCCTTTCTTGGTTCTTTAACCTAACAAGCAGCCACAAGTCTTCCACACTGCCCTTTTGTGGGAGATTGTCTATTAAGTCTGTGTCAGAGGTACAAAGCAGCCACATCCAATCCAACAACAAACTGTATTCTCTCTAAATATATTTATAGTCTGATACTTCTTAGCACCTCCACTGCTACCAATAGATTCAAAGTGCTATCACAT